TGGCATCTTGTGCAGGGATGGGGGTCCTGGCTGACCGCGTGGACCCTCTGCCCACAGCGCCCTACACCATCATCACCTTCCCCTTCCTCTTTGCCGTCATGTTCGGCGATGTGGGCCACGGGCTGCTGATGTTCCTCTTTGCCCTGGCCATGGTGCTGGCCGAGAACCAGCCGGCCGTGAAGATGGCGCAGAATGAGGTGAGAAGCGGCGGAGGCTTAAGAGTCCGGGCGCCGTGGGAGGGGGCCGGGCTGGCTCTCATAGCGCCCACACCCCCAGATCTGGCAGACCTTCTTTGGTGGCCGCTACCTGCTCCTGCTCATGGGCCTGTTCTCTGTCTACACCGGCTTCATCTACAACGAGTGCTTCAGCCGCGCCACGGCCATCTTCCCCTCGGGTTGGAGCGTGGCGGCCATGGCCAACCAGTCGGGCTGGAGGTGAGTCTGGCCCTGTGGCCCTGCCGCTGCGCAGCCCTTGAACCCCTGACCAGCCCGCCCCCTCTTGTCACAGTGACGCGTTCCTGGCCCAGCACCCGCTGCTCGCCCTGGACCCCAACGTCACCGGTGTCTTCCTGGGCCCCTACCCCTTTGGCATCGACCCCGTGAGTCCTGTGCCCACTAGGGGTGGTGCAGGTGGGGGCATAGGTCTTGGGCTCCCTCCTCGCCCAGCCCCTCCTGAGCCCCAGGCCCACGTTGGGTGCAGGAGGCATGGGCCCCACTGACCGGGGCCTGCCTGGCAGGGCCCACACTGTAGCCACCTCAAAAAGTAGAGAAGCGTGTTGTAATAAGGGCAGCATTCTGTAGCCCCCTCTGTGCCAGGACCCTTTGGAGCCCTCACTGAACTGATTTTATGTCTAGTCCTCGTGACAGCACCATGAGGTGCACCAGCATTGCCCCGTCTTACAGGTGAGGAGGCAGAGGTTCCGCACCCAAGGTCACCAAGCTAGGAAGAACTGGGGTGGGGCCCAGGGTGTGTTAACCATTCCCCTCTGCTGCCCCCTGGCGGGTAGACAGCAGATCGTGTTGAGGCCCCAGAGGAGGCAAACAGGCTGTTGCAAGCGACTGGGGTTGGGGGGCCCCCTTCATGACACTGCCCCTCCTGCCACCCTAGATCTGGAGCCTGGCTGTCAACCACCTGAGCTTCCTCAACTCTTTCAAGATGAAGATGTCCGTCATCCTGGGGGTCACCCACATGACCTTCGGGGTGGTCCTGGGAGTCTTCAACCACCTGTGAGGGCGGGGGTCCTGGGGGGTGGGGGGCTGAGCAGGGCCAGGGTAGCCTGGTGACCCGGCTCCCCTCCCGTCCCAGGCACTTTGGCCAGTGGCACCGGCTGCTGCTGGAGACCCTCCCCGAGCTGGTCTTCCTGCTGGGGCTGTTCGGCTACCTCGTCTTCCTGATCACCTACAAGTGGCTGCGCATCATGGCCGCCGGCGCTGCCTCCGCCCCCAGCATCCTCATCCACTTCATCAACATGTTCCTCTTCTCCCGCAGCCCCACCAACCAGCCGCTCTTCCATGGGCAGGTAGGCTGGGCAGGGCAGCGGGCCCCCACCGCGCCTCAGGGTCCCAGGTCACTGGGCCACTCAGAGCTTCTGTGTCCTTATCTGAGAACCAGATGCAGGCCTGAGGCGGTGAGACGGGGAGGTCTAGGGACTGCATGTGGCTCCTAGCAGGGGTGGCCCACCGTGGGTGCTGGAAGCCTGGGTGCCTTCTCCCCCAGAAGACTCCACATGGAGTGGGTTGCGGGCTCCTTGGACCCCATGAATCGTGTGGCCTAAGCTGGCATTTGGCTCACAAGGGGGGCCCTGATGCTCACCCCTTCGCCTGCAGGAGGTGGTGCAGTCCACACTGGTGGTCCTGGCCCTGGCCACGGTGCCCGTCTTGCTGCTTGGCACACCCTTGTTCCTGCGCCGGCAGCACCACCGCCGCTCACGGAGGAGGCGACAGCCGGTAGAGGCTGGGGTGGGGAGGGCACGGGGGTGGGCAGTAAGGGTGGCATCTGGGGCTGGGGGCCTTCTGATGCTGCTGCCCCCACCTCCAGAATGAGGACAAGACCAGGCTTCTGGACGTGCCTGACGCATCCATGGCCAACCAGGGCTCCGATGAGGAGAAGGCAGAAAGCCCTGGGGACCAGGAGGAGGTCGAGGTGGGTGTGGGGCCTTCCCGAGTCGGGGTCGGGGCCGGCCTGGCTCACCTCTCACTGCCACTTGTCCCCACAGCTTGTCCTGTCCGAGGTGTTCATGCACCAGGCCATCCACACCATCGAGTTCTGCCTGGGCTGCATCTCCAACACGGCCTCCTACCTGCGCCTCTGGGCCCTGAGCCTGGCCCACGCCCGTGAGTGACCAGTGGGTGGGATGGCCATGGGTGCAGACCTGGATCTGTTCCCCGCTCCACACACACACACACATGGTTGCTGACTCACATGGCGTGGGCGGGTCACTGCTCTGGGCCTCTGTCTCCTAGTCTGTAAAGGGGGTCGTCAGAGGAGGCGCCCTGCCAGCCCACAGGAAAGGAGGGCTTCAGAATCCAGAGGTGGCTGGGTGGGCTCCCCATTGCTCCTGGTCCCCAAGGTTGCCTCCTTCACCCACAGAACTGTCGGAGGTGCTGTGGGCCATGGTGATGCGTATGGGCCTGAGCATGGGCCGCGAGATGGGCGTGGTGGCCGTGGTGCTGGTCCCCATCTTTGCCGCCTTCGCCGTGATGACCGTGGCCATCCTGCTGGTGATGGAGGGGCTCTCCGCCTTCCTGCATGCGCTGCGGCTGCACTGGTGAGTGGTCTGGCTGCTGACCTGGGCAGCACGGTGGGCAGCGGGTGCTTCCCTGACCAGCTCTCCCTTTTCATCCCCAGGGTGGAGTTCCAGAATAAGTTCTACTCGGGCACTGGCTACAAGCTGAGCCCCTTCGCCTTCGCTGTGGAGGATGAATAGTGTCCACCTGTGGCCCCAGCCCTGACCTCACTGAGCAGGAAAGGAATAAAGTGGAGGGAGGCCCAGGAACTGTGTCTTGGTCTTGTCTGGAGGGCCAGTGGCCAGGGAGGCTGGGTCTGAGCTGGTCCTGCCCCTGGGAGCCTCTTGGTTAATGGACACCATGCCAGCCTCTACCCCTGTCTCCCTTATACCTGCCTCTGTAGCTGGAGCTGGTGTGAGGTGTGGGAGGTGGGAGGCACTGGCTTGGGGTCTGGGGCCTCAAAAAGTCAGGAGAGATCTGCAATGATCTCAGACTCCTGGGGTGAAGAGGGGCAGAACTAGGCCCAGGGAGGGGTGTTCCCAGCATATTCTAGCTCAGAATGAGTGTCTTCTCAGGCTGGGCTGGGGGAGTGAGCTCCCCATACCTGGGGGTATGCAAACTGGCTGTGAGGTAATGTTTGGGATACCCTGGGTGTGGAGGGGGTGCCTGGCATGAATCAGCCAATACTCTCATGTCCTTGTGCTGGCACTGGCCCAGGCACTCAGGATGCTCTGGACCAGAGAGCAGCCTGGGACACCTGAGCCTGACCTGGCACTCCAATGTGGGGCAGCGGGGTCACACCTGAGGCCACCTTCCTCTGGACAAGGGCAGAGGCTGTCCAGGACAGCCCAGGAATGGCTGATGGTCAGGAAAAGTGCTGAGCCAGGGGCCAGCTTTCCCCTCATCCCTCCCTGGGTGGGCAGTCCTGCTCCCCTGAGGCTGGCCTTCTGCAAGTGGGGTGGGAGGTGCCGTCCTGCAGGCCTCTCCAGCTGGGTTTCCCCTGCCCCGGCTGGGAGGCAGAGCCCGTGCTTCTCAGAGGCCTCACTTTCTCCCACAGAGGAGCTGCCAAGTGGTTCTTCCGGCTGGAGGCCCCAGGAACAAAGGCTGCCTTGAAGGCAGAGACGCCCTGGGCACAGCAGGCAGGGAGGCCTGGCCCGCCACTGTGGCTCTCACCTGGCAGCTGCTGGGAGGTGCTTGTCCCTCGGGTCCAGGACTGCCCTACTCAGGGCCCCAGAGGCCGGGTTGGGTTACCAGGGGCTGCATGGCAACCCACGGGCCTGGCAGAGATGTGGCTCTGAGAAACGTTGGTCACAGCATCTGGTTAGGAACAGATGAAGCTGTGTGTGTGACTCAGGAGGGCTGTGGATGGGTCGGGACCCAGCCCAGGGCCCCAGGCTGTACCTTCCTGGGGAGTAGAGCTGGGCAGAGAACTGAGGGTGAGGCAGCAGGGAGGCATGGTGACGGAGGAAGCAGACGCTCAGCACCAAGCATGGCACGGCTTTTGGAGGGGAGCAGGTGTGATCGCAGGGAGACACTGGTGGGCCCTACCCTGGTTTTGACACCCGGATGGCTGGCAGCCTAGATGGACAAGGCTGGTTGCTGGGGAAGCAGCACGTGTAAACGCACTGGAGTGGGCACCCTGGGACATGGAGGTCATCAGCAGGAGACACAGGGACAGGGGGACACCAGCAGTGAGGACCAGCCTGACCCCTGCTCATCTCATCCAGGAGGACAAGTGAGTGGTGAAATCCCAGGAGTTCCACACGCAGAGAACCAAAGCGACGGCCAGTGAGCACGTGGGGCGGGTGGCCAAGGGGCGGTGCCACGTCAGAGGAGGGAGGTTTAGAAAGGCCTGAGAGGGAGTTCCGAGCTGACCGTGGAGGGATGTGAGTGAGCCTGTGTCTTAAGGAAGAGAGGGGCTGGGGCAGAAGATGGGGTGGAGAGCAATGCTGGCTGGGCCGGGTGACCACATGGACCTCGTGGGCACAGGCAGGAGTTGGGAGCTTTATTCTAAGTAGCTACACAGAGTGCAGTATCTTTCATTGCTTGGATATCAGAACACACTCACCTGGGTAAAACTTGCGATGTCTAGAAGGGCAAGCAGTGGAAAGTCTCCCTCCAGCCCCAGCCCAGCCATTCAGTTTCCTCCCAGACATCCGGTGCTCCCCTCCACCCTTCCAGAGGTCTCCACATCTGGGGAGCGGCACTGGGAGCCTCGCATAAGCACATTGAGGTAAGTGGGGCCCTTCCTGAGACTCAGGACACATTCAAGGGTGACAGTGGAGGACAGCCTTTATTTTTTTTATTGTATATGGTACAGTCTTTGTGGTAGCAGAAATGTATGCACAAAAAACAATTCAAATAAGAATTCAGAGTAAAAAAAAAAGAATTTATCCCAAAGGACATTTAATATACATGGATTTCACAGCTGTTCTGTGTCCCTGCCCCAACGCTCCACATACGGGCTGCTGTCTCCCATCAGAACGACCACAGGAGGGACACTGGGGAGCAGCAGCGGCAGGGAGAGCTGGCTTCAGAGCCGAGGCCAGGGTGTCCCTCTCCCCACCTGGCACCAGGGGCCTCAAAGGCTTCTGAGGGGCCTGGGGCCTGGGCCGGGCACAGCCATGTGGCAGAGCCCCCAGCTCCAGGCTGAGTGGAGATGGACAGGGAAGGCTTCAGAGGGCAGGACAGAGCAGCCCGCGCCCTGCCAGGAGAACAGCCGGGTGGGCGGGGGCCTGTGTGTCCACGTGTCTCCCCGACCCCCCGGCCAACAGTTGGCTCTCTGCGGCCTCAGGGTTAACAAAACACATTTGGTTAGCACGCTTGACAGGGGTTGCGTCCAGTTAGGGCGACAAGGAATGGACGGCAGGTACGGAGGAGCCCCATCCACCCTGACCTCTGGGGATGACAGCTCGCACCCCGCATGGCTGGGCAGTCTGCACCCAGCCCTGGACCAGGATGGCGAAGGAACCACATTCAGGGCCTCCAGTCAGGCCGCAGGGCGAGGCCGTCTGCCTCTGCCCAGCGCTGCCCTCGGGAGTGAGCGGTGTCTACACGCAGTTACCTGCAGGGAGCCTGGTCCATTAACATCCTGCAAAGGCCAACGTTAACCACAAAAGGCCCCTGCAGTAACACACTACCTTGCCGTTCGCCACAGCTAACCAAAAGCTTCAGGCCCCGAGTAGAAAACGCCTTCTCTAGATTAGGAGGAGGCAGGCGCTGCACTATTGCACTACTGTACTCTAATTCTGCTTCCTGATCTCAGGCCAGGGTCCTAGTGGAGTCGTAAACAAGATATGAAATAAATGTTACTCAATTTTAATACAGTCTTTCGTATCATACACATGTGTTTGGCAGCGAGATGTCCACGCCTTCTTGCCGCAGGCACAGGACTCGGAGCACAGAGGGGCCCACGGGCTCAGCCGCCCACAGCCCAGGGACGAAGTGTCTGAGGTCCTCCCGCCGTCACACCCCAAGCTTCCTCTTCTGGTCGAAATAGGCATCGAACCTCGCCTGGGCATACTCCTAGGAGACAGAAGGGAGGGGGCTCACCAGGGGCTCCCGCCCACCCCACGGCACAGAGCAGGGCGGCGCCCAGCTGCTGCGGCTCCCAGGAGCCCTCTCCCGCTGCCGGCGCCGTGTGGGCCTCACCTGCAACTTGAGTGTCTGCAGCCCGTCCGCTTGGCCAGCCCAGCCCTGCCAACCAGGCGGAGCCAGGACTCCTGTCTACGTGTCTGGCACCACCGAGGTTCACGGTCTCACTGACCCTGAACCCTACAGACACTGATGAGAACAAAAGGCTCCTCCTTCCAAGCACAAAGCCCCCGGGGCGTTAGCAAGTGAAGAGAGGAGGTGAAAGAAAGGGACCGTGAGCGCTGGAGGGAAGTGAGACCCTGTCAGGCCACCACATCCCTGGGTCTGCTCCCCGCCTGTCCGTGAGTGGAGGACCACAATCTCTTAAGACCACTCCAAATTGAAAAGTCTGCAGTGCTAACTGCCCAGAAGATTACATCATCACTTAAAAAAAAATGAACGTTGAGGTATAACTTATATACCACAAAAAATGAACTCATTTTAAATGCACAGTTCTCGCCAGTGCTCACGGCCGGCTCACTGCCAGCACCGCAATCATGGTCAGCAACACCTCCGGCACCTCGCTGTCCTCTCAGGGCCTCTCTGCAGGCGAGCCACCACCGATCGCGACAACACTGTTACATAAACATCACCATCCAGTGGGTACCCTTTCGTGTATGGCTTGTTGCTGGGTTACGTCCGCTCACCACTGAGCAGGCTCCCATTTTGTGGCTCCAACACTGCGGTCATCTGTTCATCTGCTGTTTGGCATGGGGGCTGTTTTCAGTTTGGGGCTATTAAAAATAAAGCTGCTGTGAGCATGTGAATACAAGTCTTGGTGTGGAAAGATGCTTTAGTTTCTCTTGGATCAATACTAAAGAGAGAGACTGCTGGGCTGTACGTAAGTGGTGTTTAACTTTTTAAGAGGCTGTCCAACCGTCCTCCACACTGGCCACCCATTTTCACATTCCCACCAGCAGCGTATCCTGGCCAATGTTCGGTACTGGCAGTTTTTAAAGGTTAAGCATCATCATGGGTGTACAGGGGATCTCGCTGGGCTTTAGTTTGCATTTCTTTTATGACTCCTTATTAAACAGATGAAAAGATGCTTACTGGCCATGTGTTTACCTTCCGAGCAGTGTCCAGATCTTTTGTCCATTTATAAAGTAGGTTGTTTGGTTTCTTGCTTAGTTGTGAGTTCTTTATATATTCTAAATACAAGTCTTCAATCAGCTACAAGTTTGCAGTGTTTTCTCCCAGTCTGTGGCTTGCCTTTTCATTTCCTTATTGGTGTCTTTCAAAGAACAAGTTTTACATTTTAAGTCCAATTTGCTGTATTTTTTTCTTTCATGGTTAGCGCTCTAGATAACCTAAGAAATCTTTTCCACAGTCCCAAAGCTTTTCTCATTTTAGCTTTTGCATTAGGTCTATTACCAGTTTCAAGTCAATTTTTGTGTATGGCGTGAGTTCAAGATTCATTGTATTTTCCCATAGGGCTTATCCAGTTGTTCCCACATCATTAAAAAAAAAAACCTCATCCTTTCCCCAACGAGTTACCTTAGCTCTTCTGTAGAATACCAGTTGCCAGTATGAGTATGAGTCTATTTCTGGGCACTCTATTCCAGTCCATTTGATTTAGATCTGTCTCTACACCAATACCACACTGTCTTAACTACTGTGCTTGGTAAGTCTTGAAATCAGCTAGCAGAAGTCTTCCAACTTTGTTCCAGCTTTAGTGTTTCAGCGATTCTAGGGCCTGTGTGTTTTCACACACAGAATCAGCTTGTGGTCGATCTCTACCAAAAGCCTGCAGGGATGCTGATGGGGATCAGAGAGACTCTACAGATCAGTCTGGGGAGAACAGACAGCTTGATGCTAAGTCTTCTAAATCCACGTATGTGGTATCTCCATTTATTTGGGTTCTTTTAGTAATGTTTCATAGTTGTCAGTGTACAGATCATGCACGTACTTAAAAAAACGTTGTCCCTAAGTATTTCATAAGTATCTATTAGGCCATTGGAAAGACAGGTTTTTTTTCATTCACAACTGTTTCTAGCAGAGAAATGCCACTGGTTTTGTATACTGACTTTGTATCCTGTGACCTTGACAAACTCACTCAGTAGTTAAACAGCTTTTCTATTGATTCCTTTGAATTTTTTCATGTACATGATCATGTCACCCATAAAATCAAAGCAGTTTTTCTTCTCTTCCAGTATTTTTGCATTTGATTTCTTCTTCTGGCCTCCTGTGCTGGCAAGTGCCCCAGCAGCCCATGGAGGAGAAGCGAGCGTTCAGCGGGTTCTGAATTCCCACATGTGCCCTGGACCTGGCTGATGGGGTTCTCCTCTGTCACTAGTTTGCTGAAACTCTTTCATAGGCAGTTTTGGCCTTTCTCAGATGCTTCTCCTGCAGTCACTGAGACGACTGTGTGATCCTTCTCCTTTATTCTGTTAATAGAGTGAATTACACTGATAGGTTTTCAAATGTTACTATTAATTTTGCATTCCAGGGATAAATGCCACTTGCTCATAAAATAGTATTCTTTTATATATGTTGGATTTAATTTCAATATGTTGATGCTGGGTTTTGTGCCATGTTCATGAGGAGCACAGATCTGCAGTTTTCTTGTAATGCCTCGGTCTAGTCTGGAATCATGGCAAAGCTAGCCTCGGAACACGAGCTGAGAAATGATCCCTCCCGCTTTAGTTTCTAAGCGTTTGTGTAGGACTGGTGTTGTTTACTCCTTAAATGTTTCGTGAGGGTCACCAGGACCTGAAGTTTCTTCTCTAGGAAGGTTTTTGATTATGAATTCCATTTATTTAATAAATACATGGCCATGTCTTACTTCAGTTTTAGTAATTCGCATCTTCCAAGAAACCTGCACATTTCACGCACGTTGTCAGACCTGCTGGCGTAGAGTTGTTCACGACACTCTTATCCTTTCAGCGTCTAGAGAGTCTGCAGTGACGCCGTCCCTTTGTGTCCCCCTGGAATTGACAGTGTCTGTCGTCTTTTTTTCTTGTTCAGTACAGCCAGTTCATAAATACTTCTGATATCACTGATTTTCTCTATTTCTTGTTCATCTTCTATCTCAGTGATTTCTGCTCTTATTTTTATTCTACTTCTATCTACTTTGGGTTTAATTGGTTTTTCTCTTTCTAGCTCCTCAAGGTAGAGGTTTGAGAACTTTCTTCTTATCCAATATAGAGCCACACGTTTCCAAACATTGCTTTGGCTCCATCCCACAGATCCTGGTATGCTGTGTTTCCACTGTAATTCAGTTCGAAATATTTTCTAATTGTCCTTTTAATTTCTCCCTTGATCCAGGGTTTATTCAGAAATATGCTTTAATTTCCAAATAACTGAGGATTTTCTAGACATCTCTTGTGGTGGTGGCTGCTGACTTCCCCCTGAACTGCGCTGTGCTCAGAGGACTTCCTCTCTGGTAGTTCAGTCCTTTTCAGTCTGAGGCCTGTTTCCTAGCCCAGCATGCGGTCCAGCCTGACCAATGCGCCACGTTCTCAGAGAAGGGTGTCTGCCCAAAGCTGCTGGGGCTCCATCAGTGCCCATCGGGCTGAGCTGGTCCTGGCTACATTCTGATCTCCGTCCTTCCTGCCACAGCGCTTCCCGGGTCTGCTCGACAGGAGGACTGGTCGGTCTCCTTGGTGACCGTGTCCCTCTTCCCTTTCAGTTTTGTCTTACGTCTTTTGAAGGAAGACAAGTGCGCACACAATTCAGGACTTCCTGTGTCCTCCAGGGGAATCGATGCCTTTGTTACTCTGAAATGCCATGCATAATCTTTGTAGGATGACTCTGCTGAAGTCTACTCTGTCTTAGAGTAGCATGTGCCCATGACTCCAGATCTGCTCTAAAGATCCAAACTTCCACTTCTGCCTAACGGCACCTGTGCACTACGAACCTTCTGCCCAGCAGCAGCGATCATCCTCACAGAGGACTGAGCAGGATAAAATGAGCCAGTCACTCTCCACCAACTGTGCTCCCTACACTTCTGTGCACCCCACCCCAGGACACCCCCCCTCCATTTACGGAGCCGCAGAGGCTTCACTGAAGTTAAAACAGTGTCCGTGTCAAGGATAGTTCTGAGGTTAGAATAAAAAGACAGCCTGGTTTGGTATAAACTTGCTACAACAAACGGGGTGGAATTCAGTCAGCACCAGCTTCCAGCTCTAAGTTGGGTACTGGAGGCCGGAGGATGGAGCGGTGACAGATGAGAGAAACAAGGCACAGCGGGAGCCCCCACGCTCCTTACTCGGTCTCCCTTGTGTCAGAAGGGACTGAGGTCAGGGGCTGGAGCTCCAGGGCCCGGGTTTCCCCACTCCCCATCAGCACCACAGGACCACACAGCACTTCTCTGGAGCAGAGAAGGCAGGACCGCTGGCCCTGGGAGCGAGGGCCACCTCCAAAGACAGACTCAGCACTACCCACAGCATCAGTGAAGATGACTTAAATGATGCGGCCTTTCTTTCCCCCTCAGCTGCCCGGGGGCACCCGCTGTCCTGGTGCTGGTCACCTGGTTCAGGCACTCAGAAGGGAACGAGTGACCCACTGTAACAGTCATTTACTGCCAAGCACTCACATACACTGAAGCATTTTTTCCCCTGGGAGTAGGAGAGAAAAACCACCCCCAAAACATACCATGTACCCAAATTCAATGGATGAAATCTTGGCCTGTACGATGGACCAAAGTCCCCAGAAGAAATGGGACGCAGGGCAAACCTGTAATCACAAAAGCAGGAAACGGACATGAGATGTGTGGTACCAGCCAGAGGACCGATGACGGCATCTCCTGCCAGCTGGACATTCTGCCTCCTCTGGGAGCAAACCTCTTGCCTTAGCCAACCCAGGAGGATGGGAAAGCGGGAGACCACAGCCGTCCGCTCCCCACCTCCGGCCAGCGGCAGGTGGGCCTGCAGGTGTGAACACGCTGTGCTGCCCACGACACAGAGGACACACAGGACTCCGGCGGGGGCACGAAGCCCGGGCTGCACGTGGGTGAGCGCGCATCTGTCAGAGAGAGGAGGAAAACCGCCTTTCCCAGGAGGCAGGCCCTCACCCCATCCCTCCTCTCTGGGAAGTGAAACACCACCGGAGGGTGTGGGCCAGGTCACCAGATACCTTTGGGCTTCATTCAAATGAAGATTAAGCTCTAATTTAGGAGCACAGGCTTCAGTGCCTGCACCAGACCCGACTTGTTTTCCTCGCCATCCCTGACCCACCAGATTCCCCCGGTGCTACACTGAGTCTCCTCCACCTCCGTTTTTCTCTCTGCATCTGATCAAGAACCAGAAGGGAAGATCTAGGCTGCAGCGGAGGGAGGGGCCGCCAGGGTGGTCGCGCACTTGGTGAGAGGAGCGTGGACACTTCTGGAAACCACGGGAAGTGATCTGTGGTGAGGGAGGTGGGCCAGTCACCCAAGCTGTCACTGCTACCAAATACTCTCACAGAAGACCCCAAAGACCAGGAATAACCGTCAATAACATTGACTAAAGAGATGAGTGAGTGTGAATAAACATGTCTAGACCTTTGAGGAATCTGGACGTTTCTCAGCCCTGCTTTGAGGGCTGTTGAGAAAACAGTTAGAAGCAAGACTCAGAAGCAATACACACAACTTTAAATTATTTTCTGGGAGAGACCGACCATTCGACAGCACCCGCGATTCCAGGAGCACCAGTGACAAGACGGCCCAGGCCCTGGTGGCAGCAGCTGGGTGGATGAGTCGCACCTCCACCCATGCTCCTGACCCTGAGCACAGGCCCTGGTCTCCTTACGTGCTATGTGCTGGAATCTGAAGGATCTGAACTCACTCAACCATGTGGACAAGAACCCAATGTTCTACTGCTGACAGAATTGCAGACCTGGAGATGCATGGTTACGAGGAGTTCCGAAAATACTCATATTTGCAAGGAGGCGGCCCAAGCACACTCTAGAAAGAGGTAAGCTATCGTTACAAATCAACAAAGGAAAAAAATTACCTATTGACTTCAAGCAACATTTCTTCTTCTAAAATGGACTTTTCTTCATTACTGAGGTTTTCAAATTCATTTTGGAATGCAGCCAAGTAACTGGAAATAAAATGGAGCTTAGAGAAAAAGAAATTACGTTAGGGTCAATGCTGGTTAAAAACAGACGATGTCAACAGCTGTCATGAGGCCCACACACACCTACTGTGAGTCTTCGGGACGACTCTGGAGAAGCCGGGCGCCCCAGCGGGGCCTGCCTGCTGCTGGCCCGGGGCACAGGGCCTAGACGCTCACCCACCTGGCTGGGGTCCTAAGGAGTCAACTCCATGCCCTACTGTTGGCCAGACAAGTGTGGGAAGCCTACTTCCGGAAAATGTAACTGAGGTAGAATTCTTTTTCTACTCCAACCCGCACCTATGTTTTCCACTGTCTGACCGCAGGGCGGGGAGCGCCCACGTCAGACCTGCCCCAGCCTGGCCGGTTCCACGCAGCGCTGCCCCCCGGGCACAGGCATGAGGCCCCCAGGGTGTCCCTTGTTCGTCAGGAGATGCTCCCTCCAGGCAGGAGCTGCAGTGCCTTCCACCTCTAAGCTGCCATGACTATTTATACACTATGTCCACAAATGGGCAATGTCTACCTCCGGTCTGGAGAAGACACAGTTAACCCTAAGGGTCCACGAGGTTGTGCATTTAGTTTACACATAAACTGAGATTTATGAACCCTCTTGTTCTTCAATATTTCATGCTATAGCAAAAGGCAACAGAACACAGCAAACCAGTTTGTTTGCTTTTGTAAATAAGAAAACAACTGTCGGTCGTTCTTCCCTATGAGAAACCTTGCTACCTGGGGCTCCCTGGTTGGAATGCCAAGACCCCGTCCATCTTCCTACTCTAAAATTGGCTTTCTCTATGACACCCACTCCACCACCAGAAAGCATCATTCAAGTTCAAGCACTGTCCTAGGCATGGGCCCTTAGATTCTGAAGTAAACCTGGCACAAAAGAGCTGACTTCTGATACCTATGAAATTCTACAAAACAGGCAGCATTCTGAGCACTGGTTTCTGCACAGTAACTCACTCCCTACAACAACAAAATAGTTTTGGCAGATGAGGAAACTGAAGCACAGAAAACAGTCAGTAGGTTACAACCTGTAATGGCAGATCTGGGATTCAAATCCAGGCAGATCCGTTTTTAAAACCCATGCTTGAACCATCATACCAGGTAGGTTAATTTCTGGGAGACTAACACCAAATGCTGAAGTTGGCAAGTAAAGACAGAATATCTGGATAAACTGAAATCCTAACAAAATGGTAATTAAGACCCTCCTCCAAAAGTTCTAGGCCCAGATGGTTCTACGGGCACGGTCTAAGGTCTACCAAACGTTCATATATAACATCACCCTATGTAAATTTGTTCCAGAAAATAAAAAGGGACACTGAACTCATTTTGTAAGACTAGTATAATTTTTATTCCAAAAGCAGATATGAATAATTTTTAAAAATGAACAGTAAAGTACTGTCTCACATATGTGCACAGATATAAAACTGCGTAACTGGACCCAACAGAGCATTGCAAAGTAACCCAACTCATTCAAATAGTTTATTTCAGGAATTCCAGGATAGATTAACATTTTAAAACATCTCATGAAGGGACTGAAGAGAGAAAAGCATGAGATGACCCCAGTACAGGCAGACAAGTGTCTGATAAAGACCAACACCTATACTGATTCCTAAAACCTCTCAGAAAACAGGAACGGAATGCCCTGCAGCGTAGGGGGTTCCACAGCCCTGCCTTCAACTGACATGACCTCTGCCTTCTTCCTAGAAAGCTCCCCCTTACTGGTTTGAGAGTTCTTGCCTCTAGAGCTGCCCAGTGTTTAGAAAAGTCTGATTTCTTCTGAGCATGGCAGGAACCTGTATGGATACCTGAGGACGGCTGTGTGTCCTCTTCCCCAGGCTCTCCCACCCTTCCTTCTCGCAGAGCATGACCTTGAGGTCCAGAACCTTCCTGGTCACTGCTCAGGATACACGCAAGGTCATCACGGTCAGTCTGAAGATGTGGCCAAGAGAGTTTGGGCCTGTTTGGGCCTATTTGCTCCCCGCAGCAAGTCTGCATTGGAAGGAGGGCCGCCCCTGAGCATGGCCCCTGTTGGAGACTCGCCCTATACTCAGATGGGTGCTTGAGAAGCATCCCCTGAGGGGGCTACAGCAGCAACTGCTCGCATTCCTGTCCTTGCCCCTCTGCCCCTGTGGACGCCTCTGACCGGGTAGGGCTTCCAGGGGAAGAGCCTTCCATGGCAGGGCCACTGAACATGGTCGAGCCGCTGCTCCGCAGCACAGGCTTGGGGAGGCAGGCATGGGCCCCTCTCCCTGGCCTGCTGGCTTCTGCGAATGGCCTACTTATCCTCAACCCAAGGCTTCAACGGTGGCTGCAGGACGGACTGGAGGGTTTCCTGGGAGGAGATCCACGCAGAGTCACTGGACTCCCATAACCCAGGACGGGGGAGGGAACTGTTAATATCGCCACAGCTACTGAACTGTGGTGCCCAGACCAGCTCTGTCTGCAAAGAGCGAAACAAACAGAGGAAAGTTGGTGCTCCCCAAAAAGAAGGCCAGACAGAAAAACAGAGGCTGGGCTTTTGGGAAAAACCTAGAAGGAATTACAAAGGAGGCTGTGCTCCTCTCTGACTGAACACAGGTTATCTCTGGTGCAGGGATTTTAAAAATCTGGACCCAAATATCAGGTCTGTATTTTGACACAAAATAACATTTTAAAGCAAAAGGGTTTGCTTAACCATTTCACAATTTAAAAGGGGCACTTTAAACATGAAGATGTAATCAACCCTAACTGTAAAACTGACGCATGTAATTCACTCATCAGCAAGTACACAAGCAGGACCACCTACCTGTTGCTTCTTGGTGGGATACTTCAGGATGTTTGCTCTGAAAAAAGGATACTTTTCATAATTATAATCGTACATCCATTCACAGAAATGATTCCCAATGTCGAACCCCCTGAAAAAGAGCAAGAGGCACAGACAATGAGCCACGCAGCCCACGGCTTCCCTGAAGGACCAGATGAGCACGACAGCTTTGGTGATGGGACAGCCAGCTAGGGGCCCCCAGAACCCAGTACCCGAAGCTCCCAGAGTATGCCTGACCCGTGGTCTGTGGCAACTGTTCAGGAGCCCCATCCTGTAGTCAGTGCTTCTGGGAGAGGAAATGACCTCTGAAGCCAAGAAAAAGCCAAATTCTGGATCCTGATGACTCACACCCCTGCCCCCAGTAAGACAGCCAAGGACAGGCTGGGCTGGGACAGGAAGTGCCAGCTCCAGGGGAGACGCTTCCTGCCTAGATGGTACTGGGACGTGTTCTCCCCTATCGTTGTTTCATACACACGCTGAAACAATGACAGAATACTGAAATACAAACATTTCACTTTGACGTATTACCTGTAATTGTAACTGCTGTATTCAAAGTCGATGAGCATCAGTTTCTGTTTTTCAGAATTCTCTCTGCCTTCCAGCAATAAGACATTGCCTGCAGAAAGGTTTGGATATCACGATCTTTACTCTGGGCATGCTCTGTCATCAAAGGCGCAGGTCCTCCAATGGCAGGGCCGAGAGTGGTTCTGACCCTCCCAGGGAATCCTAATCACACGGTGAGAGCACACGGCCCTACGTCCAGGGAGAGGGCGCCTGGAGCAGCGCTGTCCCTCGATGCCCGGCCCAGGAGCCCACTCCCAGCAGCCAGGAACAGCACGGCCCTGGACTCCGCAGGGAAGGAGAACAGGCTCCCCCCGTCTTCTGGGGCAGTGCTTTCCATGTTTCCCACGTGGGGCACAGGGAAACGTCTGCTGGGCGCACAGGGGGCTGGCAGTGGCCCCAAGTGGGAAGCTGTGTCCTGCCGTCTCTGCCATGAGGATGCCAGGGCCGAGCCAGGCAACCACGGGCTCCAGGGCCCACCCCGGGCCCTCCCCACACTGCTCTCAGTGGGCTCCCCCCACGGACAGCACTCCTATGACCAGATTTCCCCTTGAGGCCAAATTCTGGGCCAGAAGTGGGCTGGCCGGCCTACGTCCCGAGGCCCCCATATTCTCAGGGATGTGCAGCCCCTGGGGGCTGGCAGGTGAGCCTGCCTGTGCTAGTTTTTTGGCCCTTCTCTCTCCAGGGTGTCTGTAGGAGGCAATTTCAAGGCCTGCCAGCACATACCTTCCATTGCTGGGAGCCAATAAAGGGAGAGCCAGGGACACAACCAACTTACAGCCCCCACCTCCCTCTGTCCTTCCCGCTCGCCGCCATCATGGACTGCTGCCCTTCCTCAGCCCCGTCCGTGCCGTCTGCTGTCATCCACCAACATGCGCGGCTGTGTCCCCCTGGCTATACCCTGTTTAACTCCACCTGCCCAGCAACAGTCCGCTAATTAGCGAAAAGTATATTGGCTCAAATAGTATCTTTATGGATGACAAGTCTTCACCAGGAACTGTTCTCAAAACTAAAAGGAAACTGGAAAGCCCGGGAAGGGCCCGCCGGTGGATCTCAGCCGGCTGTGCCGGGCAGGACGAGGATAGCAAGGCAAAGCCAGGTGCTGCAGCAGCATCGGGGGCAGCCAAGCTGGCTGCTATCTCTGATCAAATTGTTATGTTTGAAATCACATCAGGTAAAGTCTGGTTACAGTAAGGGGTACAGGATACTGAGTTGTCTAAAGCAGAGAAACCCGAAGTGATTAGTAGCCCGCGAACCGACGCTGGGAAAGCAGCGAAGCCGCACGTGCGGAGGGCAGGCGCGGGGCCAACGGAGGCAGCTGCCTCACTCTAGCACGCGATCCCAGAACATTTATTTACCGAAGGGAGTTAAACGCTGAACAATTATGTGACAGAAAGTTTCAGTCCTTCATCCCAGCTCTCACTTTAGCAAGTATTCTCAGATTTTCTTCTTACAGAAATGGGATGATACTCATTACATGATATTCCAAAACTTTCTTTTTCCTCTTAATGTATCCTGGAGCTTGCTCTGTGTAAAACCCTACCTCCTTCCCTTTCTGGTGCTACAAGCCTCCATGGCACGGCTGCACCGTGACTGTGTATCTGGTCCTCTGTGGACACCTGCATCTGTCACACCCACTGGCAGCGGTGTTCTCAGCAGACACACAAACCCCAGCTTCAGCACAACAGGCACCACTCTTACCTTCCTGACAGTCGTTGTGACAAAACACAACTGGAGATGGAGTGGATTCAAGTAGTGATCTGGGAAAAGAAGGTTTTGCTCTTACTGATCAGACTTGTAATTAGATGCTCTCTCCACCGGCCCTGCACTGTATCAGTGCCCCAAACCAACCCATGGCCCAGTGTGAGGTTTTCCCGGGAACTCTGAAGACGACCGTGCCGTGGTGACAACTTCAACCAGGAATACCCAGGCTGGGCACGCCCAGCGCCCTCCCGCCACCAGATCCCCACACACACTCTCCCCTTCCAGAGGGCTCTCCTCAGAGCCGTCTGACTGGGGGCCCCAGGCAGAGTCCCCCGCGGGTCTGTTTCAACCTCTGGTTTCCTTCACAGCTCTTGTCACAACTTGTATGATTTTATTTACTTGTTTCCTCTCTCTCCTAACAAAAGAGAAGCTCCTTGAAGAATGTGTTGGTCCCCATTTCCTCAGCACCAATTAGGAGGATGCTGGCACAGCAGACTCCGGTATTTGAGTAATTAAGGGGTAAACTCACTCTGACCTGAACACCCTGTACCCTGGGGACACCATGGTGTAGCCTCTACTCAGAAACCACTGTCAGACTTCTTACTCCAATCCCCGAAGCTCGGGCTGAACGGCTCCCCTCAGCTGCTGACGCCCCCTCACCCCTGCCTGCCCCCACGGTTTTTGTTTTGCTTTGTTTCAGAAAAAACCTCCCGCCCTAGTCACCGATGAGTGCTCCGTGGAGCCTTCCTTCCTGGATGACCAGAGGAGAGGCAATGCTGTGTGTGTAAGACTTTAAATCCAGGTGACAGAATAAATCTGTTCAAACTCACCCACAAAGCCAGCGTCAAACACCAGGCCTGAAGCGCAGCTCTGTGATGTGCACTGAGAGCAGCATGGACATTGTGGACAGACGCACTTACTGCGCCAGGAAAGGACGCGAATACTCACCTCAGGTTTCTTAGCTCCAAAGGCAGATTGTAACTGAGGAATTTGTGGAGCTGCTTAACTTTGGATTCCCCAGTAAATTTAATTCTCAGCACTTGATTCAGGTATCTTGCAAAAAAAGAGGGGGAAGAGGATCAATGCTTCATTCCCTGGGGCTGGCTCCTGGGGGCTCTAGTTCAACGAAATCGCATCAAACCCACAGGGCCCCCCACCCCCAGATGGAGGCACGGGGGAGGGCCTGGGGCTCAGCAAACTCTAGGAAGTGGATTTTCTGCCCATCCAACCTGTTTGGTAACATTTGTACAGTCTTCTATCTTGGCTTAAGAATTGATTTTTACACGCAGGAAAGATTTATTCATGACACAAACACTGCCAGTGGACAGCCTGCCTGGGCACCAGTGGAAGGGGAAGGCCTCTGGTCAGCACGGTAAACCACAGCTGCTCTGGCGCCTCTGGGAGCCACTGACGGAAAGCTAGGCAAGGGCCGAGAGGCCCGACCACTTACTTTTCCATGGTTCCAAAAAGCCATTTTGGTTCCTTATTGAATGGCATCTTCATACCATGAAATCTGGCCATTTTCTCAGCTATTTCTGCAGAAATATCTGGCAAACTTAATTCTTCAGTGTCTAATCGCCGGCTCTGGGATAAAAAAGGGAGTTAGAAAGTGCCATTTATCTACTTAACCCTGAAGTGTGAGATCACATAATCCTAGAGCTAGAAGCCAGGTTTGAAGGGCACCTAAGTCTCGTCCAGAACACAAAATTCCTTCCGGATAGGCATGGGGCCCGCAGACCACTTCTCAGAGAGGGCTGGTCACTTCCCCAGGTCCATTTTGCTTTGCACCCCTTTAACTACAAGAGAGTCCTTCTCACGTACAATGATAGCATTTACAGTCCTGCCCTCTAGTCTCTCTCCCTGGTACTAAGAGAAGGTCCTCTCCCTGGTGAAAAGCACTGGGTCCTCAGCAGTTTATGATGTGACCGGTGTCCAGCGGGGATACCCCCTCGGACAGACGGCAGGTGAGTGGAGTGCTCAGTGCAGATTCTCACCAGACAGGGGCATCTCCCCCCCGTCCCCTCAGTGCCGACCCGCACCCAGCCCGGCCTGCAGCAGGCTCTTCGGGCAGAGCTGCACAGAGGACCGGCCTGAGGCCACGTGCATGCTGGCTGCCCTCATAGTCCCCATGGGAGCTCCTACCTCCCTTTTCCAAACCAACCACTTCCCTACAGAAACCCCAAGAGACAATCCCAAGCGGTACAGCACAGGGGTTAAGAGTGAGCGTCCCGAGTTGGAGAAACCCCACCTCAATTTCTGCCTTTAATACCCATTTCAGAGCTACACAGCCAAGGGCTGCCTCCTCTGCACCTCGTGTTCCAGTTTCTGTAAAACGGGAACCCCAGCATCAAGTCCTCCATGGGGCTCTGCGCTGGGGCAGACGATGCAGGGAGGCCCTGGGCTGCGCCTCACTGGGGGTCCCCACAAAGGCTCACTGCTCCCTTCAACCCCAGAATCCTCCAAGTGTGATGTCCAACCAGGACAGGGAGCTTGGTGTGAAGCAGCGGGACACGGAGGCCTCCTCGGGCAGGTCCCAAGCCCTCACTGGGCTCCGCTACAAAATGCCGGTAACGGGTTTGGAACGTGGACCATTTAAAGCTAATGTGCGCCAAGATGAACAAATCTTCGACTCTAAGTGCCTTTCTCAGCACAAAGAAACATGAGACTGGCTGCCACTCCTGGAGGTCACTGTGCTCATGTGTCCCCTGGATGGCGACGGGACAAGTGAGGGGGCAGTGCTCGAGTGTAAACTGGGAAATAACACAGGTACTGGGGCCAAGCCAAGTGAAATCACCACTTCTGGCGGGCAAAAACAGCTAAATGTTTGCAGTTTCATATAGTCTGGCCTAGTATTTTAAAAGAATTTTTAAAACATCTTTACTATGTAGTACACATATGCGAGAGCACAGAACCTCACACTAGCAGAGGATCAGCTCCACAGACATGTCAACCTGCGTGCCCTGATCCCAGCTTCCTTATCCACAAGACACCTCCATTATCCTGAGCTGTGTTTGCTGGACCCCTGCCTTTTCTAAAACAGAAGTCTTACCACACGTGTATTTCTTTATTAAACAATTTTTAACTTGCTTTTTATTGGGCTTTATAAAAACGGTGATCCCACTTGCAGTCTTCTGCAGTTTGGTTTTATCACTCAATATTATGTCTCTGAGACGCATCCATGTTATCACTTATAACCACATGAAGTGTTCCATATTTCCAAAATTCTAAGACTTCACTAACTCATTTGATTCTCAAGCTAAATAGATGTCACTATCTTCACTGAGAAAATTATAAATAAAACTATAGCCAGGTACCAGGGAAGAGACTGGCATACTCTGGTACAGGGAGGTAACACCTATTCGCTTAAACAGCCCCCCAGGCTGGTGGCTGGCACAGGTGGTGCCATGTGGGTCCCCCTCCCCCATCCTCCAGCCCCCGCTGGACATAGGGTGGCGAGCAGAGCACCCCATTGGCCAGATGTCCTTGTGCTCTGCACTGTCTGCACAACTGTACAGGGCGGCCTTGCACACTGAGGCCGCCTGTGGCCAAGACACCACACGAGGCAAGGCATGAAAAGGAGCTCACAGGAGCTGAGAAGGGAGCCCTTCTGCCAGTGGGAACACAGGCCAGCCAGGCTCAGCATCTCCACCCAAACCAGTGGTCACCAGGCCAAGGCGCCCAACACACACTTTACAGGGAGGGCTTGGGGCTCCAAGCCTTCTTTGGGGCGTGGGGGCTGAGAGGACTACGCACACATAAGTCTAAACAAGGCACGCTGGGAGATGTCACAGCAACACCAAAAACACCTCAGTACAGCAAGAAGGGACAACAGTCCCAATTCTTGGAAACAGAGGATCTGAGCTGGGCTGTGAAATGTGAGAGGAACCCGATGGGCATATGGGGGCAGGGGAGACTGAAGTGAGGGAGGACAGTGGGAGACAAAGGAAAGGACAACGGTGGTCCCCTCAGGACAAAGACCAGAGATGTGGGTGGCACCACGCGGTCAGGGCCGAGGCTCTGCAGCAAGCTCTATATCGAAGGCCCAGAAGTTGAGAGACAAGGTAAGGGGGAGGTTTCAGGGCAGGCAGGTTTAGGGGACAACACAAGTTAGGCTGCACAAACAGGCCCACCCAGGGATGCTGCGGGTTCCATTTTGGACCTCCACAATGAAGCTGGCACAAGCGAGTCACACGGATTTGGGGTTTCCCAGTGCATAGAAAAGCTATGTTTACTCTCCTGTGGTCTATGAAGTAGCAACAGCCTTACGTCTCAAAGAATAACGTACATACCTTAATTAAAAACACCTCATCGCTCAAAAATGCTAACCACCACCTGATAAGGCAGGGCCACCACCAACCTTCAACATGTAAAGAACGCAGGGTCTGCGAGGTGCAACAGAACGAGGGAGGCCTGTGCGTTTCTGATTTGATCTTTTGCAAGAAAGACGGGCTTTGATGTGAATTCAGTAGAAATTTTCCTTTTACTTCTGTGATACTATAAATCACGTTTCAGACCATGGCATCTCAGGCTCCCGCGGTGACGGGCTCCTCTCTCCAGGGCTCCAGTCTCCAATATATCTTACCGGGATAAATTGCTCCAGGCGGCCTTGGGGAAAGATGCCGAAGAGCTTTGGGCCCAGTGACCTCTCTGCGAGGATGGCGAACATCACGCTCTCCAGAACCATGGCCTCGGCGCTCTGAAACAGATGGCAACAGACCAGATGTTTACTGAGTGCTGCCCACGTGCTGGCATCAAACGCTCCTTCCCATGGGCCGTGTCACCTACTCCCACAGCAACTCTATGCCTGGGCATGATTGATATTATTATTATCGACCCCACTTTTAACATGAAGAAGCAGACTTGTAAACTGCAGGACCCATGCTGAGCACCACACTCTATTGATGAGATTTAAGATTCAAGCTGAATTTAGGTCACTGGTTCCAAAAATAGAACAGTATCAATATTTTACCACTTCTAATTATTTTAAAACGTACATGAGTCTCAACCCTTGGCATCTTATCAAAGGCCACAGCAATTCCACCCCTTCCCCTGAGACCCTGCTTTCAGGTCTCGAGTGCCCAGTGATGGCCTCGAAGCTGGTCTGCGGGTCCAAGATGCTTAAGGACTAAAGATCAGATCTGGGTGTAGGGCTGTGTTCCAAACACCACCTCACATAGAGCACTCACTCAAGGTTTCTGTTTACTGCTCTCATTCCCAATATTCCCTGTCATTCAGTGTTTATCTTCTTATCAAAATCTCTTGGATGCTCCAATGTTCTGCCTTTAGTTATTCTCAATAACTAACATGGGACCTAGAGTCATTTTGCCCTCAAAATCCATCCCTTAGTCCCCTTCTCTTAAACAGCAAATTACAGCTTAAGAGTTTCCACCTGTTGGGGTGAAGAAGGTGGAAGGAAGTCCTTAACCAGAGCTGCACCCTAGCCTCTTAAGGAGCTTTTTACAAATGGAGCTTCCCAGTCAATGCGTCAGGAGGGGGCCAGCAGGTGTGGTCTGGAAACACTTTCAGATGATTCTCATCCACCCCTTGTTAAGAAAAGGGCTGTGGGATATAGGATCTCAGAGAAAGTGTTTAAAATAAAACAGGGCTCTTTAAAACACACTCATATCACAAAAAGCGGACTAGGAGACTTAACAGGACAAACTCATTAGGCAGTGACAGAATTCTAAAGTTAGTGAGATGAAAACAGAAGAGGAAAAAGAAAAGCTACTTACTTCTGGTATGTGGCCTCATTAAAATAAAAAGAAATTCAGTCACTTCTACCTCTGGCGGTGGGGGAGGCGGGTCTGCTGGCAGTATAGCCTCCCCCTCGGGTAACCCCACAGTTAAGACCTGACCATTGTCACCTTGTCAGGCCCGATCTCTAGTCACTGACTTGCAGTTCTGTACATATGATTGCTATGAACAAAACAGTGTCCTCCCAAAATTCATCTGTCGAAGCCCTAACCCCTAGTGTGGTGGTATTTGGAGATGGGGCCAGGGGAGGTGACCGTGTTCACGTGAGGCCATGAGGATGGCGCTGTAACAGGATCCATATTCTTACAAGAGGCTCCGGAGAGCTCACACACTCACTCAGTGCTCCCTGTCTGTCTGTCTCTCCCTCCACCAGATGAGGACACACGGAGAAGATGGCACCTGCGAGCCAGGAAGGGGCCATCACCAGAACCAGCCTTCAGAACCGTGAAGAATCAATGTCTGTTGTTTGCACCACTGGGCAGGTTTCTACAGCAGCCTGAGCAGACTGACAATGACAACCCAGACAAAGCGTCCACGGATTTCAGCAGAGGAGCTGCTGGCAGACAGGTCTCATTTCTTTTTTTTTGAATATGCCATATTTTAATTTCATTTAGTTACATGTATTTTTGAATCTCCTTTGAGACTTTCTTTGTGTCCCATGGATTATTTAGAAGGGTATTGCTTCATTTTCAAGTATTTAGATATTTTTCTGAGGTCTTTCTCTAATTGATTTCTAGTTTGATCCTATTATGGTGAGTGAACACACTGTATGATATTAATCTAAAAAATTTGTTGTGGGCTGTTTTATGGCCCAGGATATAGTCAGTCTATCCGTGAAGGTCTTACGGATGCTTGAAAAGAGTATGTGTTTTGCTGCTGTTTGAGTGAAGTAGTCAACAAATCAATTAGATCATGTTGGTTGATTTTATTGGTAAATTCTTCTGTATTCTTGCTGATTTTTTGTCTATAAGTCTATCACTTGCTGAGTCAAGGTTGTTAGACGGGTCTCATTTCTTAAACCCCCAGAGAATAACAAGTTCCTAACAGCTCGAGTTAGCTGGCAAAATGTTTTCACTCACTGTGTACTCTTGCAGACGTGGTGGGTACGGTCACTACTGGCCCCATTTATCTCCAGCCTCAGAGACACCCCATGGGGACTGAACCCAAAGGTCTGCAAAGCGTCTCTAACTCTCCGCTGCCGAGTGGAGGCCGGTTTCGCGGGCCCAGCCCGGGTGGGCTGCCGGCAGCAGCAGCTCCTGACAGCCTCGTGCCCTCTGCACAATCTCCCTCCTCAAAATTCCAACCCATCCTCTGACAGTTTCCAAAGGGTAGGACCAGGATTTCTTCTGTCCTCGTATCTGGAATTTTGTTGGAGTTAAAATTTGGTTTTCAACTTCTCTCTGTGTAGAGTGACTTAGCTGAAGGGCACTGGGGTTGGCCCCGTACAAAACACACACATGTACCCAATCCCAAATATCCTTTTGAGTTTGAAACGTCTAGTTTCATACAGAGATTGAAGCCCCATTTTACGATTTCAGTACGTTTAGCATTTTGCACATCGTGTCCACCCAGTACAAAGGCTGCCGGGGGCCGACTTCACGTGCAGTGCTGTTCCTGGTACCTTGGCAAAACACACTGTCCAGATCGTCCAGAGCAGTCAGCACATCACCAGGATGGTGGGGAGAAGGTGGAAAGAGATGTAGGAACTTTACAGCTCTCTTCAGCACTGCTCTGAACACTGAACGAGACACACCTCTGCTCTTATGTGATATCACAGTTCAATATTTATTCACAGTGGGGGGGGTGGTTGTGGAGGAAAAAATTTGGAGAGGAAGAAAATGGAAGACGCCAAGTCACAAGCAAGGAAAACTGACAGGTTATGAAGAACAGCAGGTGATCTGAGAATGAGGGAATCACGGGGTCTCCTGACACATGAGGAGAGCGAGCACAGGGAAGGACGGGCGGAGGGGACAGGACTGGTCCACCGCCCACCACGCCCGCTCTCGGCCTGGGCCGTCCGGGCACAGCTGGCCCTGCTCTCCCAGGAGAGATCAACACCTCAACTGAACTACTTACACTGGCTTCAGAAATCTTCATTCATATATTCACCCCCAAAATATTTACTGACGTGTACTCTGTCCCTGGGAAAGCCCTGGGAAACACGAACAAGACACGTGCGACCACTGCCTGTGTGAAGCCAGACAGAGAAACAGCCGGAGCCAAGCGGGGCCATCAGCAGGCTGTGGCACCTGCAGGGAGGAGCAGAGGGTTCGTGACAAGGCGCGAGGGGGCGGCCACCTCCAAGGAGCTACCTGACGCCTGAGGGGTGGGAAGAGGGCGGTGGAGCCTGAGGGATGAGCAGAGTCACCAATGAAGCAGAGGACAGAGTCAGCCTGGAGCAGCCGGTGGGGCTGCGGAGGGTCTGAGCTATCAGGAAGGTCCAGGCTGGATATCCAGTCCTTGGAGTACGGAGAGCATTTAAAGCTAATGAACTGGCCAAAGAGGGGGATGCAGCACAGAGCCTGAGAGTTCCCAGCACTTACAGTTGAGCTTTCATCCGACTGTCCCTGCAGTAAGCGACACACGTGACACGGCAACCATACACACACACACACACACACACACACCATGCCACAAACCTTACCTGCTCACAACCGTGAGATACTTTCTAGTATTTTCTACTCTATTTCACTGACAAGAACGCTGACATCTGATGCCCCATCAGAGGTTTATAGCCCGCCCGGTGAACCCCCACTTGCAGGTGGGGCAGCAAGAGAGGAGGCAGCCAAAGTGAGGGCACCGAGGTCAGGATGGGGAGAGCGTGGTGCTCTGTGTCAGGTGCTGTCGAGGCGACGAGCAGAGGGCAGAGGAAAGTGGCTGCTGCGTTTGGCAAGACGGAGGTTGTTGGTGACAAACCAAGAACGGTTCAAGGAGTGAGGGGGCAGGTGGAGAGCGAGCAGAAGAGGGAAGGAGACGGGGATGAGAAGGTGTTAGGTTGACTTTTCATTTCATGCTTCTGATTTTCTTTCTTAAAAAAAAATTAAACTCCACTAATAAGAACACCGAGATTACTAACCTCTTAAGAAGACATAACAGCATCTTTTTGGTATTCTTGCCAAAAATGCAAAACCTCATCCAATCATGAGACAAGATGAGCCAAACCTAAACTGCGAGATCACCCCTCTCTGCACAGGCAGCGGCCAGTGGGCAGCGCATGGGGCACGAGGGGAGGACCAGTCAGTGGGAAAGACTGCTGTTATCTCCAAGTGGAAAGATGAGGGATGAGAAACCAGCAGCCATGAAAGAATGAGGTGACACCACCTGCTCAGGGTACAAGGGGGACGTCTGATGAGAAAAGATAAGTCGTGACAGCCTGGGTCGGGGAGGCAAGCGCACCGGAGAGACCCCCTTCTGAGGCTCAGAACCACAGATGGAAACAGAGCCAGTCCTCCCGAAAGGGTGATTCTTCTCTACAGCGTTCAGCTGCTGGGGTGCAGGCACGGAGAAGGCAAGGAGGTGGCTGCGTCCAAAGACTGGGCCAGAAAGGACATCTTCATGAAACACGGCAATTGCCAGGAGGGGTGGTGGTGGCAGAGCCCCAGGGCACAAGCCTCAAAGGAACTGGGGTTTTCAACAGAGAAGGAGTGGTCTGGAAGCAGGAACGAGGAAGGAGCAAGAAGATGCCAAACCCACCAGTGGTCCAAAAGCACTTGGCAGGTGATGGGGAAAACATCCTCCTGGAGAGGGGCTGCGGGGGAGGGGCCCCGGGGCCATTGGGGTTCCAGAGAGTGCGAGTCGGGGGAGGAAACCTTCAGAAGCGGGCAAAGAACAGCCATCCAAAACGGCTCAGACAAGACCAATCACCTTCCCTGCTCTGACAGCCAACTGCCTACATCCTGACCCACAAGGATCATAAATGAAGTCACAGCACCTCCGACTATTAACTGCTGGGCCCCAAGCGGAAGTGGAAACCCAGCCAGCTTTGGGGGGAAGTGGCGTGGGAGTGACTCACAGGTCACCTGAAGCGAGGGCATCTTGGACTGATGAGAGGAAGGGATGAGAAGTGTGTGCACCCGCAGGCAAGGGGCAGAATATTCCAGACCTGCGGCAAGCTTTCAACGATTCTGTACTGCACCCCTCACACCAGGCAGCAGAGCCAAGTGAGACCACAAGAGGTAGCCAGGTCCCGCCCTGAGTTCACTCTCACAAGAGCAGGCAGACATCAATCACGTAATACTGAACACTTACATACAGCCCTGGAAAGTGCAGAGGAGAGGCAAACAGTGCTGTGGGAGCGTGAAATGGAGGGGCAAGCCTAGTTTGAGAGCAGGAAGGGACTCCCTGTGGATGCAACCTTCAAGCTGAAGTCCAAATTGTAAGTGGAAGTTGGAGTGGGAAACGGGTGCAGGATGGAGCATTCCAGCCAGAAGCGGCAGCACCTACAAAGGCCCTGGAGCAGGAAGGAACCACACAGTTTATGGCAACGTGGCTGGAGAGCAGGGAACGGGGGAGGACGGTGTGAGATGAGACTGGAAAGCTCCACAGGCCATGGACCTGGCAGGATAAAGCCCACCTGACTCGGCCCAAGGCAGAGAGTGACCACCAAAGGATTTTAAGCAAGAGGCTGACATGATCAGGCAAACAGTTCAAAAGGCTGACTGACAATGATGAAGGAAACAGCTTATGGGTAACAAGAGTGGACATGGAAGCCCAGGGGGGAGCTGGTGGCAGCATGGACTAAGCAGGTGGCCAGCACAGATGGAGAGAAAGTCAACAGAGCCAAGGTCCCAGGAAAACAACCAACAGACTTGTGGTTTGGACGTGGGAGTAGCGGGGGAGGGGTATCGGAGATGACCCCTGCTTCCTGGCCTGCCCGAGAGGATGATTCTGACTTTGCTGTTGGGGAGGGGAGAGAAGGGGAGTGTGTATTCAGTCTTGGACGTGGGGAGACACCCCAGGAGATGAAGGGTAGCAGCTGGCATTCGTCCCAAGCAGGGCTGAGGGTTGGAGGAGTGGGGCTGCAAACCCTTGGTCTCTAGGAGAAATGCAAGGACGAGAGGGGAGAGAGGGCAGCAGGGGAGCAGGCCCTCGGGCTGGGGACTCCGAGCACTTAAGACAAGAGAAGAGCCGAGAAAGAAGACAAAGAGGAGGGGATGAAAGGAGAGGCCTTCACTTTGTGTCTCTGTCGTAGCTCCCTTAGCTGCTAAGTCAAGATAAAATGAGAACTAAAAGTATACTCTGGATTTAGTGTCACGGAGGCCCTAGGACCCAACAGTTTAAATGACCCAGATGATCGAGGGTCTCCACAAGAAGGGTCCCAAAGGGTTGAAGATGGAGTGTCAGTCACTTCCCACCCAACGGCCTCTCAGTCGGTGTCACCCGAGACAGCACAAATCCCAGGTCCTCCAGACCACAGTCCCCAGGAGCAGAACACCCATGAAAACGAGAGGGGGAAGTATCAGCATTTTCATTCCTTCACAATCTCACCTTTTCTTAATTTCTCTTTCTCAGTCATTTCAATAACTAGTGTACAGTGAGTAAAGTCAGTAGATCTCATGGTGTAGATACCCGTCTTATACCCACCCACCCGTTATATACAATCTGCACGTACTCGGAGAGTGTGCTCAAAGCTGTTTACTCCCTGGAGTGTGGGGATCACTACTCCAGACTCCCCATTTCTGAGCCTCAAAGAGGGGAAGGTCGATACCTCAGTGCTCTC